GATTCCGGTCACGTTTTCGGTCACGTTTTCGACGATTGTTACGCGACGGCTTTAACCGGATTTCCCTCTAACAATAGGTTTTTAGGTTCAGTCACTAAAATTCAAACCAATATTCAGATTGCAAGTACTATCAAATTCTTATATAAAGAGTCATTTTCTTATACCAGGAATGGATTGCAATGAAGAATATGGTTTCCTGTAACTGAAATGGAGTCTGTGTAGATTTCCCCCGTTCCTGGTTTCGCGCGACAACGTTGCGCAGCTACTTATGATTAACAACATTATTAATAGATACACTAACTCTATGTTATTTGACAATATAAAATTTCATAACCTATAATTTTATTGTTAATTTAATATCTTATTAACTAAGTTTTATATAAATTTTTAAAAAGTTTCCACAATAATATGCTACCCTCCTGTATCTAGAGATCTAATTGACCATAGGTACTTGGATCAAGTCTTTCCATGCCTCGATTGTAACCTTCCAATAATGGAATCAGGATTAGTATTTACGTAGTATCGTTAGTTTGTTGTTTATAGTTAGTGTGATCAGATTTGACATATTTAGGTTAGTACCTTATTTCACCATCCATCACAACGTACGTACGCGTGTACGAGAGATACTATTTGTGGGAGTGATACAAACCTAAAAAAGAAATTCAACGTAGAAATAAACCAAATTCGTAAAATTAAATTTTAGGTAAATACAAATAAATAATCGCTTTCTGCATGTATGATTTCATCTCCGACATTTTAAATTAGTGATTTAAGCACTTGTTTTCTTCGTATTTTTTCTTTTTTTTTCGTTTTTTCTTCGCTTTGCGCACGTGTCGGGCTGATCTAGGATAATCACTTTTTACGTTTTTCGATTGGCTAATTTCCCTTTTTGAATTTATATCACTCCATAAAAAGGAAATGGCAGCTCTGTAGATTTGGTCTGTTTTGTGTAACATGCCTAAATGGCAAACAGGATGATCTATAGATGTTACACAACAAATCGCACCAGGTGTGCGGTATTGTAAAAATAACTTTTTATGCTGCACACCAGGTGTGGAATTATTTTTGCAACATCGATGTTCATCCTGTTCCACTCACGCAAATAAGTGCATGCGGCCACAACACAGGTGATGAAAACAAAACTCTTCTAATTTACACAAGGAAATATATTGAATGTTATAAAACATTGATGTCTACAAAAATGAATAAAAAAATAAGAACCGATTCTAGCGCAAACAATATGAATCTCTTCGAAGAACGTCTTAGGCGTTACGAAGATGAAACAGGTCAAATTAGTAGTACACCAATATCAACAGTAATAGACAGAGTTTCACATTTACGAAAAACCCGAGAAAATGATGCGTCAAAGGCAATCATTAATATTCAAACTTCAATGAACCTTGATCTTTGCTTCGTTCTGGACTGTACAGGCTCCATGTCTCATTATATTGAAGCAGCAAAAGAGCACATATTAAAAGTAGCTAGTTTTATAAACAGCAATAATTCAAATATCAAATTATGGGTTGGTTTCTGTGGCTATCGCGATCACTATAATCATGGTGATCGCTTACAAATTTTTGATTTTACTAACTCTTTCGAGAAATTTAAAATGTACATTACCAATAAAGTGACGGCTATAGGTGGTGGTGATATCCCAGAAGATGTTTTAGGTGGTCTTAATGCTGCGATAACTGAGATGACATGGAGCAATGCCACTCGTATTATTATACATATCGGCGATGCACCACCACATGGTCGTCGTTTTACCAACTTATCTGATAATTATGCCATAAATGCCAAATACTTCATATATTCCCTAAATGTCATAAAAGGCCGATATGTCATTTAACACATATATGGCCGAAGTAGCAGAAGTGACATAAGTGCCGTAAGTACCATAAGTGCCATAAGTACTATAAGTAACATTTCTGTTACTTTTCGCATGACCTTGGATCGGGTAAGGATCGTCACCCCGATTCAGGCACCTGTGACTCCAAAAATCGGGCTCACAATAGAGATAGTAGAAAAATTAATAATAGTTTATTAGTTGGTATTAGATAGTACTTTTGTTTTTATTTGTATTAGGTACTTAGTTTTATGTATACATGTATATTACTTTGAGATAGGTTATTATAAGAAATGTTTTGTTTTTTTCTTCTGAGCAAAAAGTCTTTTATTTTATAATAAAAGTATTGTTTATATTTGAGATTAATTTTTTCTACATTATCTATTTACACTATATAATTATTAAAACTTTTATTTCTATTATTATAACAAAGAAACAGATATTCTCTATGCTGTTCATTTATTCAAAGTAATAAAAGTAATAAAGTAATAAAAGTAAGAAAAGTAAAATTTTATTTACCTATTATGTGGCCAATTACTCAGATGAGGTGAAATCTAATTTTGATAATCAGTTATGTGTAACTATAATAACATATGATCAATTTCAGAGCTTACACTATTTAACCAATTGTTAAAAAACAATCTTTTATAGCACAGATATAATTTTCAAATTTTATTATAATAGAATTTGAATACTAAACCTGTTACTTAGAATTTAAAAACTTATTAATTATATTATTTGAATTTATTTAATTATTAAATTAACTATAAATATAAAATAAATATAATTATAAACTAATTATTATTTATTCTAATAAAATTCTATTTTTTAAAAACATCAATTAACCTTTTTTAACATTTTTGCTACTTTTATTACTAACTATTAAACTAATTTTATTTATATACTATTTAGTTGCCTTATATGTTAGTAATATTATTACTACAAAATTATTTTATATTATATTTTTTAAAAAAACAATTTTATTCTAAATATATTAATTTTATTAAATAATTCACTTTTTTTAATAATATTATACTTTTAACAACTATATTTATTTTAATAATTCTTTAGTTAATAATACCAAATATGATTTCATAAAAAATATTATAAAAAAACTCATCTTTAGTTCTATATAAAATAGTTTATTTGTTAACAAAACCAAAAACATATAAACTTAGAAGTATAGAACAGTATCTTAGTAGATTTGTACTTTACTTTAAATATATAAAATAGTTACTTTAAATATATTAGTTATTTTAAATACAAAACTACTAGTTTCTATTATATTAAATAAATTTGCATAAAAAATAAAGTAATATTACTATTATTTTTAATTTAGTTAAATTTATTAATTTAAAATTTTTTGTAAATTTTGTAAATTCTATAATTATATATAATATAAATAATTATTCAATCATTATTGTTTGATTATAGACTTTACTGCTAAAATGAAAAAATTACATATGAGAAATATGTCCATTATACTAATCATAACATTAAAATAAAGAAACATAGTTTATTGTCCAAATCCTTTAAACCTCAGTCTATACAGCTAGACTACTTGAGTTAAAAGTCATCAATCAATCTATCATCTATTAACAGTTCTGACCCAAGTTGTTACCTCATCTCAAGTCATAACTTAAATATTATCCTTCTGATTTAACTGCAAAATTAGCAATAAACCTATACAAGAATGAAACTTTTCAGTTATATACCAATTTTCAAAAAAACATCTTTATAATATTTCATTAGTTATATATTACATCAATGCTGATGAGTGCAAAAGTAAACATTTCACTATTATAAGCTGCTGAATCACTAAAACAACAGGTGGGTAATAAGAGTTTATAGAATCAGCCTTACTAAGGCAAGCAATAGTAAACAATATAATATCTGAATTACTATATAAAGAAACATTTTTAAATAATCATTATTACTTTTATCCTTTTGTGCTTGTCACAATATTTGTAACTATACTCCTTAACCAACTTTATTATTACTTATTATCAGTTTATTAATATATTAAAAACAATTAAGACAATCATATGCAATCATTAAATTATTTTACAATACCTATATATGATAAGATACTAAAACATTTCATAAAAAATTTAAAACTCATTACATGTGATCTGCAATAAAGTCTCTTTATCTTTCTTTAATAATTGCTTTATCACTTTGTTGACAAGCTGATCAATTTTGTTCTTTCTAAATATAACTTGATAGAACCAAACTTTTGGCAACTTGTATTTTTATAGGTTTTGAATCAAAACATTAATTTAAATTTGCAGATCCAATCTGTAGATCAATAGTATAGTAGTTATACTTCCAGGTTCCAATCACAAGGTCACTGGTTTGAGTTATACTAGAGAACAACAGCCATGCCAGGATTATGACTAAAAATAACTACAAACCTGCTTTATTAAAGAAAATAAGAATACTTGTAGTGAAATTCTGGTCAAAATTAAGAAACTTCAGAAAAGGATACTTCTAATAAAATTTCAGATGAAATTTAAAATACTACTGGTGAAATTCCAGTTGTGAACAATTAGGACTATAATAGTTAATATAAATATATATAGTTAAATAATTAATAAATATAAATTCTTAAATATAGATAATCTTACAAATTTAGAAAACTCTATTAATTGAATAAGTTAATAAATAAATTAAATGCCACCAGCATCCTGCAGTGATCATGTCAAAGGTTAAAATCAAAAAAAATTCACAAATTCAAATATATTATAAAATCACAAATTTAAGCATTACTGTAAACCTAAATTTTATACAATTAAAACATAAGAATTTCTATTTGTATCTGATAAGTACATATATAATTGGCAGTAAAATTACTGAATTATGGCATTATGGCATTCTACTATGTAGTAGAATTAATTTTACCACAGTACCTGATTGCCATAAATATTATATACTATAATGCCATAATGCCATAATGCCATAATGCTGTAACTGTAATGCTATAACCATAATGCTGTAACTGTAATGCCATAACTGTAATGCCATAACCAAAATGTGGTAACTCACATTAATTAAAATTAGTATCCTTATGCAAGCTAATCAAACTTAAGATTGCGACATACCTATTTAAAACATCCTATAAGCTATACACTTTATAATTTCTTCACTCCATTTCTGGTAATACTTTAATAAAATTAAATCAGATTTGTTTAATATCAAATAAAGGCTTGAGTTTTTTGGTTTCATTTGGCAATACATAAATATAAATATTATCTTTTGCTATTGATTTACAACACAGTCCTAATATTTACTGTGAAAGACAAAAAGGCAAACTTCAGGCATTACTTCATAAATTACATCTTTTGAAGAGAATTTATCTTTCTTTTTAGATAATCCTAGATCTGCAATATAAGATTTTGTATTTTTATTATTACATTGGTCTTGTAAAATATTACCACTATGAAAATCTGCATGAACATAGTTGCAAAATCATAAATACAATATTATTACAATGCATATATTTACTATATTTAGAGTTGTTTCATAATCACAATATATAATATATTTATTTTATTATTTCATCTGCCATGCTGTTTTAAACTTTATGTCAAATGTAAATTGATTTTTTACTTACTGACTAAATTAATGCAAATAAAATAATAGTAATAGTAAATAAGTATTTATGCTCTTTATTTGTAAACTTGTTTTGCTGTTTTTAATTTCAATAATTAGTAAATGTTATACTTACTTACTGAATGAATAATTAATGTGAATGAAATGATTTGAAGGTATTACTTAATAGTAATGATAAATAAGTATTTATGTTCTTGATTTGTAAACTTGCTTTTCTGTTTAAAATTTCAATAGTTAATAAATATTTTTTAACTTACATACTAAATGAATAATTAATTTGAATAAAATGATTTGAAGGATATTATATAATAATAATAGTAAATAAGTATTTATTTCTTGATTTATGAACTTGCTTTTCTGTTCAAAATTCTAAGATTAATAAATGTTTGTTACACTTACTAACAGAATGAATGATTAATGTGAATAAAATGATTTTTTTTATTTTTTTAAATATTAATGGTAAGGCCATGCCTCTATCTTTATTGAATATTCAATTGAAATTTTAAATAAAGTACAAATCTACTTTTAAAATATTATAGAAAGAATATAAGCTCACTAATTTATCTGCAACCTAAACCAACTGGAGTGGCCAAGGCTCATCTAGATTTGGATATTAGTAATAATATATAGAGGATTGATTTGATATTTTATCTATTGGATATATCAGAAGTTAATTTTGAAATAAATTGAATTAAAAGACAAAATGTGTAATACAGAAGAGACAAGATTTAATAATAAATTATAGTTAGGAAATTGGGCTATAGATCTTGAAATACAATATGGAATCCAAATTTTGTGGTAGATTTGTTGATTAAGATGAAGTAAAAACTTTATAGAAGTATTACAGATTAAATAAATAAATAAAGGGTGAATAATAGCTAAATAACAAAAAAAAAACTGCCATTATTCTACCCTATATCTGCCAAATAATGGCAGCATAACAGCAGCATAACAGCAGAATAATAGTAAAATAACAGAAGTTTTGTCAATATGAGTAACATAATAGCAAAATAATAGAACAGTTCTATTATTTTACTTTTAGTTACAAAGACTAAAAGTAAAATAATAGAACTGTTCTATTATTTTACTATTATGTTACTATTATGTTACTATCATGTTACTCATATTGACAAACCTCCTGTTATTTTACTATTATTTAGCTGTTATGCTGCTATTATTTGGCAGATATAGCATAGACTAATAGCAGTTTTTTTTCTGTTATTTACCTATTATTCACTCTTTATTTATTCATTCGACCTGTGTAAAGTAGCTATTTTTTTGGAAGACAAATTTGCAATAGTGTCAATGAGTTCATTTGGTATTAAGCCTGTTAGAGTTGAGAAAATTGATGGTACATTAGATCTTTTATAAATAGACATACTGTAAAGTAGTTTGATTTGGTGATATAAGTTGGTTATAGTATTAAATGTAGTATTAAGTATATTTGAGTTAAAAGTATGTTGTAGTAAGATATCAATGAGACTAAGTAATAGTTGGTTAGATGAACAAGTTGTCCAATGAAGATGTGAACTAATTTGGTAACATTGATGACAAATAGGTAAATATAAAGGGTAGCATTTATGTAAAATGTGTAAAGTAGGAAGTTCATCTGATAGGATTTTAATTCTAAAAGATTTAAGAGTAAAGGACTGAAAGCTATGAAAAAATATTGAGATTTTTTGATTATTATTAATATAAAGCTAGGTGGCTTACCAGTTAACTTGGTTAAGGATTTTGTGCCATTTTTGAAAATAGTTTTATGTTATTCAGAGTGCATATATATATGCATGACATATTGTATGAATGCTATAATAAGTAGGTAATTCTAATGAAAAATTCTTAAAGTTTAAAGTATAAGCTAAGTTATAAGTATTATAAGATGTAAAATAAGGTATGGCAGGTTGTAATGGTTATGTGCCAGTTAGTCAGCAAATTTATTATATTTGTTATCTTGATGAGCAGTAACTTTGTGAAAAATAATATAGTTATTGTATAATTTGATGAAATTGATAAGTGTGTTCCATAGTGAGAAGTATAGTATGTAAGTATATGGTATAGTTGTTGTTGAGTTTAAAAAATTGTTGTATTTAGAAATTACAGACTGTGAGTCTGTATATATGTTTATGGTACAGTTTCTAGAAGCAGTAATAAGAGCTGAAGAATAGCAATAAGCTTTGACTTGAATAAGCAAGGCCAATATTTAGTTTGAGCATGAAAGATCTAAAGTACAGAATTATTTGAAACTTGAGCCCACCCAATACCCATTAAGCATTGTAAAGTGCCCAAGTTTATAACTGAGCCATCTGTATAAAAGTGAAGTTCTGATAAGTTGGAGTTATAATTAGCAATTTGCTAAAGATTGTTTGTGAATAAACTGTGTTCAAAGATATTTGGAACTGAGTATGTTGTAAAAATAATATTAGAAGAATTTGGGGTTTGAATAGTGTGTCTAATTCCAATAGAATATATAAGGTTAAGATAGTTGGTATTAAAGTTAAGAGTTTGTTGTATGTATTAACTTGTCTATAAAATTTAGTTGAAACATTAATGGGAATAATGATTATGCATTTATTAGTTATTGTGTGAGAATTAAGATGACAGTCTGAGTATGTATTTGATTAAATGAATGAAAGAGGATAAAGATAAGTAAATTGTAATTCAATATGGCATTGCCAATGATTATAAGAACAGTTCCAGATGGTGAAGGCTGTCTTCTAGCTTTGCCAATGATAATTTAATTGTTAAGAACCATGATAAGCCATGGTTTTTTTTATAAAAAAAAATGTCTAGTTGTATAACTATAATAATTTGTGTTAGGTAGGTGTAAGTTTTGATAAAGAGTATGATTATAAAAGTGACTTGTAACTTGGTCCTTTAAAAAGATAAACCAGAGTGGTTGTTTGCCTTTAGAAATTTTGTTTATATGTAGAGAAATATGTTTCTAGTCTAGAAGACATAAGTTATCAAATATGATAAGTTGATCTAAATATAAAATGCCATGATGTCTAAGTTGTTTTTTGAATGTTATATATTTAGAATATAAAGAAAGTAGTAATTCAAGTAAGATAGAACCCTCTTGAATAGTGCATAGAATGTTGTATAGTGGATTAGATGTAAACATCATGCCAAGATGTTTAAAGAGCTAAATAATCTGGAAATTAACTGTATGTTTGTTAGAACTATCAATAATGGGATTATTGTGTATTAAAATACTAATAAGTAATCATAAATTATTTTGAAGTTGTTAGAGTTTAATGTGAATACTTATTTCCAAAAGATTAGATAAATTGAGTCTTTTAATAAAGTTTGTAATATGGTGTTGTAATTGAATATCCTATATATTATAAATATTTTAAAGTTAAGAATAAAGTAGTATACTTGTAGAAATTGTATGGTTGAGTTTAGTCTTATTTTTAACAAGTCCAATATGGCTTGTAAGAATTTTGTTGCATGTGTTTTGACTAAGAATAATTTAATAAAGATGATACTCAATTGTAGAAATAATGACAGTATTAATTATGCATCATGCATGTGTATCAGTAATTTGTTTAGTGCTTGCAATTTTGATAAGATGTAACAACTTAGCAGTAATAAGTTTGGTTTGTTTAGTTTGTTTGTTGTTAAGTATAAACTAATATCCAAGAAATTTAAATAGTTCATTTGATGGATAAAGATTTAGAAAATGATTATTGTATATAATAGGAGTATAGCCAGTTGAGGTGTTGTTAGTTGTTAATAAGAATTTGAAAGAGTTAATTTGAATATTAGCTATATTAAAAAAAGATTTA